GTGCGTCCGTCGACCCAGGCGTGGCAGGAGGCCCTGGACCGGCGAGAAGCACCGCGACCGCGTCCAGGCAGGCGTTACCTTGACGGCCGGGCCGGGGGTCACGTCGTCCAGGACGTGTGCGCAGATGTTGATCACCTTCAGCAGGTGGGAGAAGAGCTGCTCCACCATGGGCACCAGGCTGCGGTCGCCCAGGGCCGGCCACACCTCCTCCTGCTTGGCGGCCGCTGGGCTGCCCTCGTCGTCGGAGGCCCAGGAGCTCCGCAGCGACCGGGGCGCGCTGGCTGTGGGGAGGCGCGCGTTACTGCCGCCCACGCCCGCCCTCGGGGCTGCGGACAGTGCCACCTGGCGCAGCAGAAAACCTGGGGCCGCAGGTGCCATCCATGTCACCACCGTACGCCCTCCGGGGGTCGCGGGCATCCAAGCCCCCGACTTGGGCCTGCCCGGCCGCGGTCAGCTGGTGACCCAGGCCTGCCGAGCCTGCCCCGAGTGCCCCACAGCTGGTGTCTTCCCCACGACCCCCCACCTCTAGCCTTCGCTACACTATTAACCTCCTAAGGCGCCCGGACCCAACCGCCAGAGGCGAGAGACGTCACACTCCAGGAACAACCACCACGGACCCCCTTTACCAAGGGGGTGCAGAGAGCCAACTGCAGCCACACGTGGAGGCCAGCTCACCCCAGATCCATCAGAATCCAAGCAAAGTGCCGGTCACCTGTCAACAGAGCTGGATTGCACTGGCCAGTAGTGATGGTCACCACTCGTCCCCCCAAAGGCGGAATCAGAGACAGCAGCTGCGGAAGCCCCGTGGGAGAGGCCGGGCGACACCCACAGCTCTCTGAGAGGCCAGGCCGGACCTGCGGTGCTCCTGTCAGGCGCCGTCAGGGGCAGGACGGAGGCCCAGCCTGACAGACGGGGGAGGGGGCGTCTCTTCCTTCCGCAGGGCTCGGCGGCTCGATGCTTCCTTCTCTCAGGATCGCCGCTGGGCCTTTCTCCTGCCGCCTTTTGAGAGCAGGAACCGAGCCTTTCCCTCCGAGGCTGGAAGAGGGTCCCCTTCTTTCTTCGGAGTAGCCCCTGAACTCCCTCTGGTCCGGCCTTATATCCTCTTTCAGCCCCCCCGCCCCCCAATCTGATTGGGCCATTTTTCACCCTACGGCTGACGGGACCATGTAGCCCCATCGGCTCACAGCTCGCGCCCGACCGGCCCGTTCTTCGGTGCTGGCGCTTGTGTGAAAGGGGGCGGCCGCAGGCGGCCCTGGCTGGGTCCTCTACCCTTTCTGCGAGCTGCATGCGGCCTCAGAACGAGCTTTCTCAGCGCTGACCTGGGGGTCCATGCCCGCCACAGAGCCCTTCAGGGGCCTCTGACGCGAACAGAGCGAGTCCTCCGAAGCGGAAGCAGGCGACACCCCTAAGCCCCCACGGCGCAGCCTCCCTCTGATGCGACATCAGCTTCGCTCGGGCCCAGCGCTCCCAGCGCTTTCCCAGCGCGTGCCCCGGGCGGGCTGTGCCCTCTGTCTGCTGTGCCCTTCCCCACCGGCCCGCGCACGTGACACTCGGGCCACGTGACCTGCCGTCTGAGCAAGGCCCCCCTCCTCACCTGGGGCTGAGCCCACCCGGCACGCGAGGGGCAGCCACTCTGCCCCTGCTGGTTGAGACACTTGATGTTACAACACTTGGCACAGACTGGCTGCTGGCAGCGCACCCTTCCGCAGGGACAGCGCCTGGGATTCCCACCAAAGGGACGAACTCTGGCCGCACAACGCCTCCTTCACGCGCTCACCACCCCGCAAAGTCAGAGGCCCGGGGCGCCCTTCGGGCTCACAACCAATACCTGCGAGCAAGTTTCCAGCTAAAATGAGCGCGTCTTGGTGGGCCGAGAGGTCCAGCGGGAACCAGGCGGACGAGAGCAGGGTGAGGACCACGGTGGCCATCCCGACGGTGCAGCTCTTTCTGGACGCATCCGAGGCACTGAGTGGGGGCGCCCTGGGACAGGTGCACAAGGCCAGGTTGCAGACAGGAGTAAAGCAAGCAGTCTCGGCTCCCGTCTGAGCACGGGGCCGGCCCTTCGCACTCAGCTGTTCACACCGACCTCACGCCTGTCGACTAGCACCTTTCCCGCACTCCAGAGAAATGAATCAGGCCGCATGGAAAACCCTGGGGCTGTTTATTCTGAGAACTTTTTCCTTTTCTTTCTTTCTTTCTTTCTTTCAGCATGCTTTCTTCCAGCACGACGTTCTCACTAGCTGAGGCCAGGGCCAGATCTGACTCTGGGCTCAGGAAGCGTCTGCTGCCGGGGGAGCGCTCACCCCAGCGCAGGGGACACCGGCAGGGCTGGCCCGGGAAGCCGCAGACTCACTGCCGCTTTCCTCACGACTTAGCCCGCAAATGAGTTTGTGTGCCAAAGCTCGAGAAGCTAAACTTTGCTTCACGGATGCCATCT